GACAGTAATCTGTTGAGATCAACAGGTCGTCCCAACAGCTGAAATAACCACGATTGAATGTACAACTGAGAATTGAAAAACAAACTTGAACATGTCGTTGACTCAAAATGCTGTCGTATCTACCAGCACCAGGAGTTCTGACAGACAAACCAGCTTTGTTAATATCTTGTTTGAACTTCTTATCAAGCATCATGCTGAAGATAACAAGTAAACATCCGCTAAGACCTTAAATCATACCAGGATGCCATTTGTTTATAATGTACAAAAACCATATCGGAAAGCTTGTAAACGAACTGGTCAAAACAAAGATTGACCTCCGCTTCGACCTTAACATCGGTATACTTGATTACAGAGAGATATTTGACTGAGCACCTCGTCATACAGGAACTGCTTCTTGAAATTGAAGAGACTGTAGTTAGCTGCATCATTATAAAGATCCAATTGGTATAATGCTCCTTCTAATAAGGCCAAATCTCCGGATGTTAGTATGTGGTCTGTTAGAATCCAAGGCATTGACATTTCAATCGGAAACTATAGAGAAAAAGATTCATAGCGAAATATGTTTGTAACAAACTTGGATACGACTTCCCATCGTCATTTCAAGATAAAACTCTCTGAACCATAATTGGCTTAGTTCTCCAGCGTTTTGAAGAGTATCGGAGAGCTGGAATAGCGCTGGCCAATGGGTAGATTTTCTAAATATGTTATAAATATACGTATAACAATGAGTTATGAACAAACCTGAGGAAGACACTGATACGCTCAATAGTTTTTGCATCCAATTCTTTCCTCAACACTTTCTTTCCTCCACTGCACCTTTCCGAAATCAATGACTCTAGTTGTGTTCGCACCATATAAAGCTATGAACAGATGAAAGTCTGCATTAGAACAGAGAATTACCTGCGTGCTACTCGGAGCGGGAGGAGCTGCTCTTCGTGGGATTCGCAGATCACTAGCTGAACTGCTGTTGGAATCTTTCCCTTGTTTCTTCTTCGGTTTCTCAACAGGTCTAGTGTCAAACCCAGCCAAAGTATCCATGCATGTATCTCTGACCGATTGGATAATGCTTCAAACGAAATATTAGATTCAATCTAATAGAGGCACAAACTTGGCCAGAAGATCTTTTTTGTTCTTCACAGCTTTCTGGAGAGGCTCGGCCAGAGCAAGTTGTACAAAACTTTGTAGCTCGGTGTAGATGTGTCGTCGAATAGCATTTGATAAAGCAGGTTCCATCTTCCCTAATAATGCTTGTAATCCTTTGATCATAGAAATCATTTGAATAAGCGCAGATTTTTCAATTGGCGAATAATTGTATCTGAGGAAACAGTTGAGAAAAAACTTTTTCGTCTTACCTTGTGGCTCTCTCATACTCTTCAGCATCTTGTGGACAATCTTTGTTTTCCCTTGAATTTGTAGGGTGTAGCAACTTCCAACTGATGGTTTCGACAACATCGGAAGTCCATTGGGTTAGCAGCTGAACTCCGCTCAATGATAGTGAGGTCAGTTTTCTATTTTCTTCGTCAGAACCAAGAGCTCTGTCGCTGATTGCTACCTGAAAAACTTCTTCTTGTGAAGGGATAACACAAAACCGTTAAACCTCATTGTTAACTTTTGCTAATTGGGTGACATAGGACTCGTGATCACCCCTTGCCAACTTGATTTTCGCTGCGATATTTACATGACATCGATCACCTTAAAAGTTAACCAAATGGGGAACTCTTCATAGCTGTCAAACCTTCTTTATCACTAAGAGGCCATTGCTTGGAATCATAGAATTGTGATCGCCTCACGAATGAGAAAGGTTGAATTTGCATATCTCCATATAAAGGAACAACCTCCAAACTCTTAGAAAATATGAATAACAACTAACAGCATCAAGTACACATACTTTGAAAACTTTGTCCAGTCGAGAAATGGACAATTTCTTTTTCTGATCTAGCTTAGATACATTCGAATTACCTCCATCCATGAGAAATAGAGAGAAAGCGATTACCTGTGAGAGAGAAGAGATAAGTCTTAATTAAGAAGAGTTCCTTCTCACTTTTACGAACATATGGCGTTCGGAGGGATTGAGATATAACTGGTTTTCGAACATATGAGCACAAATGTTCACAACGTCCGCCAACAATTCTTCGTAACCTTCAATCTTAAGCACAACAGGTAAGAAAACTTGGATTTATATTTAGAATTAGTTTCAAACCTTGACCATTTCATCCCTCAGTGTGTCTTTGATTTTGTTTTGCGTCGCCAAAAACATACTCAAGTTCTGCATATCGTGAATAGTTTGAGTGTCAGACATTACTTGTAAAAATTGAGCAGATCTCAAAGAAAAAAACATGAATAGGGTAAAACTAAAAGAATTTCGATACCTTCTGTAAGTTGAAAAATCATTTTTAATCGAAGCTTTCATGTTCTTCAATTCGTCTAATACAGCGAACATATTGAGGAATTTTCCCAATGTTAATAGATAAGCTTCAGATACAAAATCCTTCAATGAAGAAAAGAAATCTAAGAAAGTTAATGAATGCTAACTCACTTTACGTTTCTCCGTATGACAAAGTCTTTTAACCTCATCGAAGAAACGAACTATCGCTCTGTTCTGTAAGAATTATATGCTGCACTAACGAATCATGCGATCTGAACGTACGGTGAAATGCATGAAAGCGTAAAGCTTGTCAACTTCTGGTTTCAGGACTTCGACAACTTTCAAATTTATCTCTACTCTGTTAGGTTGATCGTTAGATTTCGCCTGAAGTGATTGTTTTAGTTTTTTTACAATTTCAAAAAGCATCACACCATGGGAACAGCCCGTGAGCAACATCTCCATGTGTACAAGTTAGCGGCGTGGTTCAAACCTTCTTCGAGCATTATGTTCTTTATAATAACAGAATAACTATGCACTTTCTTATTAATAACTCACAAACTCAGAATGCCTAGTGGCTTCTTCAATATACTTTGAAACTCCTGTGACATAAGCGCTTCGGTCTTCGAAGTTCGTATCGAAGTTTGTGCTGAATGAAGGAAGTTTTGCTAACTAATTCACAAAACATTAATCTTACCGACATAATAGAGGTAATGGTCTAGCTTCAATAGAGGGTTGATCATCTGGGAGAAGCAAATCATCAAGTATCTTCAAAGAATTGAATGTTTTCAACGAACAACACGGAATAACAAACCTCAACGTTACCAATGGCGTCCCTAAGCGAATAGTGATCTGCTGACATATTGCTCTACGGGAAGCAACTCTTCCCTGTTGATTTTGAGCCCAGCAATCAAATTCTGAAAAACGAGAGCTTGTGAATTTCAAACTTAACAAAACAAAAACATATGTTAGTTAATTAGTAATTGGTTGGTAGCGCGCTCTGTCGCTAAAATGCGTCCTTTAATTTGCAGCTTGTATTTAAATCGAAGCACACCAAATATGTTGCTTTGTTCTGTTCGTTTCATTCTTATTTGGAATTTTTTCAGACTCGAAGCGTTTAGGACGTGATGGGCTCCGGGGAGAAGCCTAAGGTTCATTATGTGCCAAAGATTCTGAATGGCGGTATCGCTGGAATTGTCGGAGTCACGTGTGTGTTTCCTTTGGATCTTATAAAAACTCGCCTTCAAAACCAAAAGGGAACATCATCATATAATGGGATAAAAGATTGTTTCGCTAAAACATTGGCGAACGCTGGTGCTTCACGGAGCAATCAAATAAGAGCTTTCTACCAAGGAGCCTCTGTCAACATTCTGCTCATCACCCCGGAAAAAGCTATCAAGCTTGTAGCCAACGATTTCTTCCGTAATATCCTCAAAAAGGGAGATGAAAAACTTTCTTTGTTCAGGTTACTATTTGTATTGTTTTCATACTCATCCTTGTTATTTTCCAGAGGAATCGTTGCCGGAGCTAGTGCAGGAACTTGTCAGGTTATCATCACAACACCTATGGAACTTCTTAAGATTCAAATGCAACAATCAACTAAAAGGCAAAGTTTGGTCACAGTCGTCAGTTCCTTTTTGCGCGAGAAAGGTTTGGCAGGATTGTATACAGGCTTGGGACCCACCTTAGCTAGAGATGTTACTTTCTCTGCCATTTACTTCCCACTTTTCGCAAGTCTCGATGCTTTGGGACCGAGAAAGAGCGACAATTCGGGTAAAACTTGACTGATGAATGAACATTGACACTCCATATTCAGGAGATGCCGTTTTCTGGGCTAGCTTTTTGTCAGGTTTGACTTCTGGAGCCATGGCTTCCTTCGCAGTTACTCCACTCGACGTAGTGAAAACTCGATGCCAATATGTTGGCGAAGGAGCTACGCCATACAAGAGGTGATTGAATCGAATCTAAATTCAGTTTCATTTCTGATATTTAGCATGTCTGAAGCATTTGTGTCTATTCTGGGTAAAGAAGGACCTAAAGCGCTATTCAAAGGAGCTGCCTGTCGTATGATGGTGATGGCCCCACTGTTTGGAATAGCTCAAACAGTCTACTACGTAGGAGTAGCTGAGAAGCTTTTAGGCTACGAGAAATCGCAAAGAGTATAGATTTTGAGAGTCTTTTTATAAATTATTCTACTGTATTCAATACATTTTTATTAGTTTTACTTCTTTTTCTTGTTGGTTCACACCTTTGTATTTACGAGTCTTCCATTTCACAACACAACAAAGGATCTCATAGTAAATGAGCGGAGAAAGATCGAATCTTGAAGTGTTAGCTAAGGAAGCTGGGGTTACTCCTCACGTGGCTATATATGGGGGAGGTTCTATGGCCAAATGTATCTCTGAAGGTGCTTTGAACACTGGTTAGTCTTACTGCTTTATATGGACAATTTGGTGATTTAGAATTTATCAGCAAGCACCAAATTTCCATATCAACCAAGAGTACGGCTAGTGCGATGGGGTGGACAGTAATCTTAAGCACCAAGAGTTTCTTATCGTCTCTATTGTTTCAGAATAATGGTTATCAAAATGTTTACACTGATGTGAACGAACAAAGTAGAACCCATTCTGAAGGAATTGCTATAATAGGTGTTAAGCCACAAGCTAGGAACTCGTTGTGGAGTAGCAAAGTGGATTTTTCCAAATATAATGCTATTGTCTCGCTTATGGCTGGAATCACCACTGAAACCCTTGAGAATGAAGTCAGAAATGTTGATAATTGATTGAATAACTTTTGTCATATTCAGATATCTGAATTCTGCCCGAACCCTCCCCCTATTATTCGAATTTTTCCGAATTCACCTTGTGCCGTAGGCAAAGGTACCACCCTAATTTGTAACAACAAAAAAGTTAGCGAAAAAACGGTTAGTCTCTTGATGATGATGATCAAACTCCAATATTTCAAGTTCAAACTAGTGAAAGCTTTGGTGGAGACGTTCAGTACCGTTCACATTATTGATGAAAATCAGATAAATGCAGCTGGAGCATTAACAGCTTCTTCTCCAGCATGGGTAGGCTATACGCTATGATATTACAAAGAGAGTGGAAAATTTTAGACATATATGTATATTGAATCGCTGGCTGATGGGGGTGTTTTATCCGGATTACCGCGGAGCGAAGCTATGAAATACGCCGCTGAAGCGGTTATTGTACGAAACAATTTACGCTAACAAGTAAAGAACAGTAATCTTCAGGGAGCTGCTCAAATGGTGCTAGCCAGAGGATGTAAGAATCCTGGTTCATTAAAAGATGAGGTCTGTTCTCCAGCAGGAACTACAATAGCAGGTGTTCGACAACTTGAGAAGACCTGTATGCTTATCTAATCTTCATGATAATGAAAGCAACTCAATTCAGGTTTTCGTTCAGGAGTGATGGAAGCGGTCAAAGCAGCAACTGATCGTGCTAAAGAATTATAATGCGCAAGTCAATAGTGTTAGAATGATAAATTCGCATGAGATGTTCAAAAATTACAATAAAGCATCCGCAGCAATACGATTGGTTAGCTTCAAAAATCAATTTTTGAAAAGTAAACGTATAGAACGGTTGTTCGAACGGTCAACACAAGGAATGAAAAACCATTTTTTCGTTTTAATAAATAAAATATGAATTTCTTCAAAACAAAACAACATGCAAAAAACAATATCACGCATTCACGTTGATGTAATTAACAAATAAGGAAGCAATCTTCGCTGGATTGGAGATTGGGTTGGTTTTGGAGAAAGAGATGAACTGCCTCCTAAATCTAGCGAGCTCTGGAGCTGATCTAACTCTGTTGAATGTAATCTGGAAATTCGCCATGTCACTCTTTGATCATGATGTCAACATGCCTTGTTACAATTAGCTTCTGCGCAATCTATAACGATTGGCTGCCCCGGAACTGTATGAGCTTGTCCAGATATGATAGCAGAAACAACCTGATAGTTTTTTCTTTAATGAGATACGAAAATTCCAAATACCTCCTGTGTTGCTCTATCAAGATCGTGTAAAAAGTTGGTGGGAGCTAAGGGTGCAACTACCGTACTTTTATTTTCTGTTAGCGGAACCCCCTGAAAGTTCTAAGTTTATTGAAAAGTTGAGACCATCAAAGTAACCTCGAAGAGAGAGAGATAAATGTCTTCTAATGGGATATTAACAAATCGTGGCGATCGATAAGATAAATCATACATCATATCATCAGGAATCTCATCATCTAATGCTCTGAAATAGATTTTGTAAGTTGCAAAAACTTAAAATTAACGACTTCTCAACTGTTCCAATTTTGATTTCAAACAATGGACTGTCCCAACGATTTCTATCAGGCTTTTCATATCGAAAACACAATTCTTGCACCATTTTCTCACCATAACTGAAAGAATTGAGTTATATGGAACTTAAATCGATGAATAAAAAAGATTTCAGAAAGATGAAAAAAACTGAATTTATAGAAGTTTCACATACCTTCGGGGTGTCTCTTTCTCTTGATCAAATGTCAAACAAGCGTTCTCCTCAGCATTACAAAACAAAACCCCGTATGTAGTTTTTACTAACTTCGCCAATAAAAATAATTCATAACGATAACCTTAAAAAATGAATTTTGCTTTGTTTGAATGTACTTACTTTTTCTTGCCTTTAATATAATTCAAAGAATCGCATATAACAGTAGTATTTTTGCCGATGATTTTCTCAACTCGAGATTTCAACATTGCTCGATGATCTTTTTCCTATAAATGTAAACTGTGAAAAGATATTTTCTGTTTTTCTTACTTTATGAGCTTGACTATAAACGGTAGATCGATCTATATTGAGCTCGTCGTCATCCACAACAACCACTGATTTTCCTCTCTCTTTCAAATACTCTACTATTCTATTGACTATCGTAGATTTTCCAGAAGATGGATAGCCAGTTACCACAAGAAGAGGCATTATATATCCTGAAACACTAACGCTTAAATGCTTTTGAACGATCCTATCATTTTTCTGTCTAAGAGAAGAACTGAAGAGCTTAGAACAACGAAAGAAACTGGAAGGATGAAAGTCTTCTCATTCAGCACAGCCGTGTATGATTCCCTATTTTCGTTCACACGTCGAGCAACTCAAGAGCTGTTGATCATATATTAGTTAAACGTACTTCTATATGAATTGAATAACTTCAACTTATTTCACTTTTTTGCAGGTATAAACCAACATGGCGTTGTTGAGTACCTTCAGAATCTACTCACAATGCGTTTCTCGTACTATATCATCGACTACAAGTTTTTTAAATATGTATGATCCGAGAGTATTCAGAGAACCAGTTACGGATTTGAAAAAGGTAATGCCATCGCTTGAAGAAAGCTCTCATCATCATGCTTCAGATGAAACAACCTTTAGATCCTGATGACGAGCGCAATTTCCTCTTCATTAAGGCAATGAAAGCCGATTCTTCTCCTGTTTTTTATAGGGATCACGTGGTAGGTTCTATTTGTTAGCTCATTTTACCATATGTAGCTCTTGTTGAACGATCTTTGAAATTGAATTTAAATTTACGAAGCATCCGTTTGTTCAATCGAAAGCCTGAGCATGAAATCTTTTACCTGATTGTATGAACTACGAGGTTCAAGCTAAGCTATGAGTTCCCATGTTTCCAAGTAAAGCTGGGGGCGTCTCTGTTTTTTCATCAAACGATGCATTTCAATTGAGGAATGAAGTAATTTTTGATTTTGTTTCTAGGTTGATAAATTAGTCAGAGTCATAATGAAAGATGGCAATAAAGAAACAGTTAGAAAGCATGTGTATGAAGCTTTGGAAATAGTGAAGCGGCGCCAATACAAATTATGGTTACAAGCCAAGACTGAAGACGAGAAGGTTTTGATCATTAGTATTTATATTTCCTCATAGAGTATTTCGTAGAATAATATCGAACTCGATCCGTTTGTAATTGTGAAAACAGCCATAAGGAATTGTCATCCTTTGATGAAGCTACAAGGAGTGACAAGAGGTTCAAAAGTTTTCAACGAATCAAAGATATGTTCGTGAATTCAGGAGGCACAACTTATCAAGTACCTTTCCCCATAGAGGAAGCAGAAGCCGAGTTCAGGGCAATGAAAATGATGAGAGACATTTGTAGGCAGAAAGCCCATCACGGAGATACTCACCTTAGGTAACGCTCAGCTTTACATTATTTCAAAATAACCATGAGTAATACAGAAATATTTTGGCGAATGAGCTTCTTGCTGCTTATCAAAACGAAGGATTAACTATTCAAGCTAAGCAAGAACTACATAAAACATGTGAAGCCAACAGAGCTTACGCTCATTACAGGGCTTGAGTCAGAGAAGTTTGTTGTAAAGATGCGTGTTATAGTTGTTTTTTGTTATTAAATAAAATTTTATTGTCTACTCTGTCTCTCAGAAAAAATCATTTTCCGAAAAGAAACGCATAGAGCGGTTGTTCGAACAGCGCAAGCAATAAAAATCATTTTTTTGGTCTCAACATACCTTGTCACAACTAGCTTCTGCGCTGAAACCGCAAGAGTTCTCTGTGAATTACTGAGGGTTGGAATCTCATTGAATAATTGTATCCGTGATGAAACTACAAACAGAAAAACCGAGATTCCATCTTTACTTTAGGGTCTTTGTGATATAAATGGATAATCTTGAAAGATATTTTGTTTTCCTTGCGGTACCAGCTAAACTACAGAGGGTAGATCGATCTATATTGAGCTCGTTGTCATCCACACCAAATAATCATTCTCTCTCTTCTGCTGTTTTCTCTCTTCTGCTCCTATCCTTTCCCGGTCGAAGTGAGGCTGGAGAGCTCAGAACAATAGGAGAAATGATCTTCCCAATGAGAAGTTCCCATTGGGCACAGCAGTGTATGATTCACTATTTTCGTTCTCACGTCGGGCAACTCCTGAGCTGCGCGTCATACATGTAGAAAGTATTTCTATATTTCTGAATTAATTCAATTTGTTTCCATCTCATGCCGTAGGGATAAACCTATGTAACCTTGTTAAGTAACGCTAGAATCTGCACAATGCGTTCCTCGTACCACATTATCGACTACAAGTTAGTTAAATATGTATGATCTGAGATCGTTTGTACTCAGTTACTGACTTAATGTAAAACCTGCAGTCCAAAATAATTGAATGTTGGAAAAAAGCAAAAAGTAACAACCTTTAGATCCTGATGACGAGCGCAATTTCCTCTTCATTAAGGCAATGAAAGCCTATTCTTCTCCTGTTTTTTATAGGGATCACGTGGTAGGTTCTATTTGTTAGCTCATTTTACCATATGTAGCTCTTGTTGAACGATCTTTAAACAGACGAAAAGATGTTCTAATTGGAATTAAGTTCACAAAGCATTTATTCGTTCAATCGAAAGCTTCAACATGAAATCCTTCACCTGATTGTATGAACTTGAGGTTCCAATTTTTTGAGCAAAGCTTTAAGTACCCCTGTGTCCCACCAGAGCTGAAAGTGTATGTTACCTCGTTAACCTCGAGTATCCATGTTTTTTTTATCAAATAATGCATTATGAATCAAGTAATTTTCGAAGGAGTTCACAGGCGGAAAGCCCATGATAGAGATACTCATCATAGGTAACGCTCAGCTTTACATTATTTCAAAATAACCATGAGTAATACAGAAATATTTTGGTGAATGAGCTTCTTGAAGAGAAGTTTATTGCAAAGATGGGTGTTATAGTTGTTTTCTGTTAATAAATAAAATTATTTATGAAATGAATTTGTTATTCGTTCTATTTCATCGTTCGTTAGAGTTTCCTTTACTCTCGTATATCATTACTTGCTTGCGTTTCAAATATCTATGCTGAATTTTTTTTGTAGATGGCACTGATCCCTACCGACACTTTGTCCGAGTTTGAACAACAATACTCTGTTCAAACGGCAGAGGTGAGACACTATCCTCATTTCAAAGATTGACGTTTATTCAGATTACTTCGCGAATTGGGCGACTTCCTTCAGTAGCAGTGCCAGAACGAGCATCTGCGGTGCAAAATATTCAGCGATTACTGACTGAAGTTCAGGAGCTTTTAGAACAAATGGAACTTGCAGTCCGAGATTTACCCGTGGGGAGGTATGAATCCTGTTGTTAATTAATCATAATGTTCCCGTTCTAGTAGTGAAAGATCGAAATATGAAAATAGAGCTCGGAGCTATTACTCCGACAAACGACAACTAGACTTCGAATTAGAAAAAGCTGTTCAACGGTTACGTGAAGTCGCGGACAGAAATGAGTTATTGGCCTTTGATGAAGCTGTTCAAATGGATCAACAAGAAGATCAATTAATTGCCAATACTCAGAGGCTTGAGCGTTCATCTCGCAAGTTACAAGATGCTTATCGAATGGCCATTGAAACAGAAGAAGTCAGTTCAGCTAGGATTCCCATGATAAATTCAATTTTAAGATTGGGACAGAAGTTTTGAGTAACTTATCTGCTCAGAGGGATACCATAAATAGGGCTCGTGAAAGAATGAGAGATGCTGATGCTGAATTGAGCCAGAGCACACGTTTACTGAACACCATGATCAGAAGGTGAGCTTGATTGTAAGTAAATTGAAGTGTTATACATATTTGGTTTTAGGGTTATTCAAAATCGCCTGTTGCTTCTCATCGTAGCAGTAGTTATGATGTTCTCCCTGCTCTTTATAGTCTACAAAGTGGTCTAGTCCTACTTTCTTTTCTCTGAATCTTGTCATCGTTTCTTCTCTCTGGAAATCTCCATTTAATTTTCGTCTGTGATACTAAAACCTTCGATTCCTAGTAATTCACTGTGTAGGTGAATTACTGGAATCAACTGCTCTACTCGTATCTCTGCTTGTATATTCTGTACGAATGAAGCATTTTTTCAAATGCTCGGATCACTGTATGAATCCCCAAGTGTGTGATTATCGTGGATGAGTTGCTAGGGGAAGATCCTTGGGAACTGTCTTCATAAACTACCAATTACTGTCTCTTTACCCATTCAGCCCTTCTCTTCTAGTTTTGACACCCGGGAATTTGCATAACTGCCATCATTCAAATGAAATTAATCAAAATGTTTCCTTGTAAGGAAATAATACTTAGGCTGTCGCTGTTCTGAATTTGAATCGGCCAATGAACTTGTAGACAACGAAGTTTTCTTAGGTGTCTGTCCTACATACGAAGATATGGGAATAATTTTTTTTGTTCACAAGTCCATAATGATGACAAAAACTTTGTTTATTTGCCTTTTCAAGTAATAACAAGGTCAGTTTAGACAGATGGAAGCCAAGTCGGTTACTATACAAGCGAATATCTTATTGACAGTTCAAACTGAAATTAGATGGATCACATACTTTGAATTCTGTTGGGATTGAGATTGAGAACAAACATTTTTATTTCAAAAGTATTTTATGTTTATAAATCATAAACTGGTTTATTTCCATATATCTTAATGAATTCAGAGAATATCAGACTATCCCCCGATTCCATCATCACCATAGTGTTCTTCTCTTCCTTTACCATCTCATTCTTTAAGTTGCTGCTACTCTCGCATCTTTAACTAGTTTTATCTATTGAACCTCAAAAAAATGTGCGAAAAGAAAGAAATAGAAATGTGAAATCAAGATGGAGACAATCGGTCGAGTGATAGAATACCAACTATGGCGAAGGTCAGCTAGCCTTCACTAGATCAGGCTTTTGTGATGAGTGTATGTTGGAATACCCGAAATGCTTTTGCGCGAAAACGCCCAGCAAAGGAATTCGTCCTCAAACATTTTCATTTTTTCCTCGTTTTCATAGGTAGATTGTTGTATGTGATACTGTTCTTTGTTCCATCCAATTGCGTTTCCTATTTATGTTGTTTATTCATTCGTTTTTCCCTGATTCCAAGTCGGTAGCTGGCAGATGCACACCCCAGTTCAATGGCATTTTCGACATTTTTGGCAACATCTGCTTCGAAAATATAACTTGTCACATATCATGTCATCTCAAGAGTATTATTTTCTTCAAAATTATTTTAATATATTTCCACTTGATGGCGTCATAACCGTTTAACCTGTTGCTCCATTATTGAAAACCGTATAAGATTACCCATTTATGTCGTTAAGACAGTGTCCACAACAATTGAGCAATTTGATGCCTAAAAACAGCTTTTTCTCGGACAGCAGGTGGTTAGCTGGCGTCAATCCGATTACGGTATTAAGCTGGGGTCATTAAAAGGTTTCAATGACTGTATCGTATCCTCCCTCTCTCTCTCAATGAAAACAAATTTGAAAAAGATCTATTTATGTTTGTTAATCAAGTAATTTATAAGACGAAGATGAAACACAATAGAAACAAACCTTTGGCATTCTTTCTGATTGATGCGCACAGCCGCTATGCAACTATCAACACGGTAGAAATGAAAAAAGCATTCCCGACTCTACCTGATTACACGTCATCTCATTTGCATATACTAATTTAACATAAAAAGGATAAAATCCGACTTTGAAAATGTTGGACGTGTAAGAAAGAGATTTTGAGTTCGTTTTTTGATTTGAAAAAAAGCGACAAGTCGGTGACATTTTATCTCATCAGTTATTCATCCAAAATCATTTTTGTATGAAAAACATTCCATTGAAGACTCAATGTCATTCATGTTTTTTTTGCTTTTCGTCCCATTTTATGACTTTATTGGTCGTTGTTCTATGATGTTTCCATCATAGGATACACTTAATATCATTATGATATGACCTTATGCCTCAAAGACGGAAAAAGGGCTGTCAGACTGTTCATTCGAATGTTTCAAAGCTCAAGAAATTCATGAGAAAATCATATAATTAGAAAGACGACTGCCTCTCTCTAATCCAACATAATTAAAGAGATATTTTTTGATTTTAATGTTCAAATCTTGTACATATGTTAATCGTAAAATAGATTAAGAGGTTGGTGACGCAATTAAGATAAGCATTACTTTTGAATGAAGAGAGGTAGAGAGATAGAGAATCATTTTGAGAGAGTGACCAACAGAGATAATCAAGAAGTAGGAGAGAGTGAGAAGGTATGAGAAAAGCTCAAGCAGAAGCAACAGAAGTTTGTAAAGTTGGGTTGAAGTAATGAATGAAATAACAGATGGAGAAACGTTGACAACGGCAAAAAGCGCAACTCAAAGCAAACACTTGACGTTCAAACCCGTATTGAATTTATGAGCTTTTTGACAATCTGTTCAACCTGCTAATGGAACATGAAGTTGCAACAAATATTGAATTGAGACAGTATGAGTATGAGTAGAGAGTGAGTGAAAGATAAATCAAAAAGAACAGAAGGAGTCAGTCGGCTTTTGTTGTCAAAATCCAACAAGGCCATTTTCATATGAAATTTCGAGAATCGGCTTTTTCCAAATAAAATTAATGAAGGAATCATACATTTCCATTTTGAATGTCATAAAATAGAGGTGGAACAAAGAAGATTTTCGAACGACATCTCATTGCGACGCATACAAGATGATGATGATGATGAATAAATTTATTCAAAATGAGAATTTCCCTTAAATGCTATTTAGTATCATCATTAATTTATGCAAATTAATGTTTTTTCGCTGTATTATAGAGACGTTCCGTTACTCTCTTAATAATTCCTGTATCCTCTTACTGTCGATCTATTCATCTCTCTATACCATCTAGCGTGGTTAGAGTCGGGAGAGCCTTATGAAGATCGTGCGTGTCTTTCGTTTCGGAAATGGCTATTTCCTGTGCGGCATTGGTAGCAAGAAATCGCATCAAAGTGCAACAGATGATTAACGTCTTCTGGTCATATAGGTGTGAGGACACTCTAATAATCTTCTTTTTTAACCATCTTCTACTGAATGTGTCCTCTTGCTCTCCCTAATAGTCATCACCAATGCCTTCATCTGGCCAACTGCTCTACTTCTGCTTCCTATTCTGATTTTTTGATTTTCGTTTTTCTTCTCGTTCATGCTTACTTTCTCTCCCTGTTAACGTTTCACGATAGTCTTCTTCTCGTTGTTTTGTTTTTTCTTGTTTATTAAAGATCTTCTCAACTTCTTAGGTCAATTGTATCATTAGTTTTCTCTTGTTTATGTACCTTACCACATACAGCTAATGGCAAAAAGAATTCCGAAAGTGACATGTTTGACTAAGGACAGGAGCTGAAAGGTGATAGAAGTAGCTAAGGATTCATATAAATCCATGCGGGATATCATCAACAGCTTGACCGCAAAGCCTTAAACGGTCAGGCGGCATTGACAACCTGTGGAGTGAAAGCAAATAGATTTGATGGACTTTAATCCAGAAGAAAAGAATTTAATTTGTTTACAAATCATCAGACGTAGGTAGCTTCTGTCGGGTTTTTTGAATTTCTTGCTGATCAAAGAGAAAGAGAGAGAGAGAGTGAGAGGTTAGAAAGAGACTGAAGAAAGGTAAGGAGGAAAGAACTGGTTCCAACTGCAACTACTTCGTTCTCCCCTCTCTGTTTAACCCTTTTTGAAACATTAGAATATCTTAATGACTTCAATATCAATCCGCTTTTACGGTTTTTAATGTATTTTTTTAAAAAATATTTCAACTTTTCAAGTTCTTCAAGGCTTCATTCTTCTCATTTCGTTTGTTCAGTCAAGGATTTGATTTAATTAAAAAAATCTTTTTTATCATCATTCTCCTTTGCAATTGATATACTATAAGAGACAACATAATAAGCTAAATATGGACATGTTCATCATTTGAAATTAACCAGTTTCCACTGTTTCTTCTCAGCAACCCCCTCCCTTCTTCGCTCCATCTTCCCTCTCTGTTCTTGCCCACCTCCAAATCTGCTAGCTGACTCCTCTTCCTCTTTTGCCTTACCAGCTGGGTGTCTGTCTGTTTGATCATTTTTGAAAGTTTCTTAATAAATTTATCAGAAATCTCCAACTGACACTTCATCAAACGTTTGCAAACATTTTTTTGTCATTAAAACTTAACGAGCTTAAGCTTTTCCGTAATTAGGAAATGAATGAGAAAGATAAAGAGAGAGAGAGAGAGAGAGAGAAGGTAAGAAAGGACGAAGAAGTCTCTCTTGCATCCCCCGACTCCGTATGATTCATCGCTACTACATTTCCTTCCTAAATCCATTTTTTGTAACATAAAAGAAAGATATAAATAAATATAAAATAATAAAAAGTGCCAGTCAGTATAGAGATGTCTGTCTGATAACATCTATATTCTTTTGATTCCATTGTTTATAAAAATTTATTTGATTACAATCAAATTGTTGTTGGATTGCATAATCCATGCATCTACTTCCTTTCATAGTCACTTGTGCCGATAACAACTTTGCCCGGTTTAGCCTCTTCTGACAGCTTCTTTTGCCTAATTAGCAACACTGCCCATCAAAATATAATTTATTTATCCTTTAAAATATATTTTTACAACCCTCATCATTATCCTCAACCTCATCAGCACTATCAGGCATTTGACAAGTTCAGTGCTGCCCAAAAGCATTTTGTGTTAACAAAATTATTGTAAATCAATACCTTGCTTCAAGCAACTGACAGTTCTCAATCAACTTTTGGCAAAAAGAGAAAGAAAAAAACGAAGAAAAAAAAACACTTCTGCCCATATATGTCCTTGTAATCATCAGAAGAAATGTCTAAAAGACATGAATAGTGAATGCAGTGAAACTTTAACCTGACGTTACCGGATTAACCTTGGATATGCTCATCTTGCTACTCAACGTATGAAAAGATCAGAAAACAACATGTAAACTGCTTTTTGCGCATATAGATATCAAAAGAAGAATGCCGACATGTCTGTCTGTCAGAGCTTGTCACACGAGGTCGGTGGTGATGTTATCTCACTCAAATAGATTCATCAGTTCAACTGCCAACAGCTAGCATAAATGGGTCGAGTTGTGTTACGCAGAAGCTGTACCATTCTGATTCTTTGATTCATCGGATGATGTGTAGTCAACCTCTATTCTATTCCGCTCCTCTCTATAGTTCTCTTCTACATCCGAATGAAATGTATTATCCTTATAAGGATAAGTTGAGAGCTGAGACTTTGCTTAACCAGTTTCTTCCTTCTCCCCATCTTAATGTTGTTCTATTACGCTGTTTCCAGTCATTTTTTTCTATTCTTTCATCTGTTAGTTGTCTTCTTCTTCTCTTATTTGACGGAAGCTATGTCATTGCATGTGCGAAGCGTGACGTCATTTATTTATTTTCTTTTGCGGTCATTCCTCTACAATAGAAGCTTATAAGATGTTGATATTCATAAGTCCATATATCAATGACTTCCCAACGATTGCGTCTTTATTAGTTCTTTTCCATTTATTTTATTAATATAAGGGAAATATCAAAAGTAAAGACTTCCGACCGTTCTAATGACAGTAATCCGGTCATGCCTTTCGTCCTCTATTGAGCTGCACAGAGTCATGGGAAAACCATGTTAAACCACTTGAATGAAATAGTTTTTAAACTGAGATGTCTGGGAAGACGATCATAACTGTCTGCTTCAAGTATTTGACGGCAACATCAAATAGTTTCTCATTAGCAGCAGCATCATTTTATTTTCTCGTTCATCACACACGCAGCCAATTTCTTGTTATGCTAATTATGAAGCTGAGTAACTTGTTTAACTTAATTATTCAAATCTTTCTTGATCTCTCTCTCACTCTTACTTATGCTAATTTTCATACAGTCATTAGTTTATAAGGACGTTAGGCTAAACGACGCAACTTGGTGGTTATTCAAATTTCACGTAATCCACGTGGAAACCAACAGACGCAACTCATTTTGAGCGTTTGTTACACTGTGAACGGTTGTTTTCGAATCAAATAGTCTAAAGCTAAGCTACAGGTATTCATCTATCATTTGCTTTTACGTTCAAATAATCCGAGAAATATGGTTTCGTTGATGGATTTTCATCCCTAATTACCATATTATCCTGTTTTAATCTACTTTTCATGCAATTAAATGTTGTTCGGTCTTTAACTTTATTATCTAATTTGACAATAAAAAAAGTTTATAAAAGACTTTGAAAAGAAGATTTGAAACGATGAATGAAAGAGAGAGAGAGAGAGAGAAATAAAGAGAGAGAGAGAGAGGTATGAAGAGAAGGTAAGATATAACAGAAGCAATGACAGCCGGGAGGTCGATCGACCATTTCGTCAAATTATTTGCTGGTCATCTTGGGTGGTTTCAACTGATTTTTAGAGTTTTCGAAACTTTTCTCTTTGAAATGATATCGCTTCAAAGACATTTTTGATTTTATAGCTCATTAAAGAGAACATTGCTTTAGAAGTTTGAACAAATAAAAATTCGGACCACCCTTATGGAAAAGGCAAACGAAAGGCAATCGAATTAACTATATGATCTAGTTAATGATTGAATTTTCATCTTACTATTTCATATATACCTCTGATTTTATTAGCTATCAGCAGTAACTTGTAAACGGAATGGTAAACCTTCCTCCTCATCCCCCTAGCCATATACCTCCTAGTCATACTTAACAACCTCTTTCAAGTACTTTCTGAAGTTGTTCAAAAAACTATTTTATTCCTTTTTTTAATTAAATTTATCAGTTCAGGCTCAATCATTGCATATTCAAATAGGTTTTATGTGGTTCTTTTCCTTTCGGAAATATCCACAGGATGTTTCTGAAGGACCTCTTCAGCTCATAAATGTGGGCGGGGCTAGTAGTGAGCCTGCAAGATGATCAAGCATTTCACAGAAGCGATGACTATGAGATGGGTGTAGCAGTATCCTCTACATCTCCATTGTCTTTTAGTCATCATGATTCTTTGAAATATATATCCTTAAGTTTTAACACATTTTACTTCTTCCTACATAGCATATCATAGATGGTTATGAGATAAGACATGGCATGCGGTCATGAATGATCAAATGCTAAGCTCTAGATCAGATAATGCATAACCGTTGGTCACTCAACTGTTAGTTTTTGCGAGAATCTCTCTATCCATTCATTTGTTTTCCCTCGCTCTCTCTATAATTCTCTCTATATTTCTATCTCTTTCTCTCTTAAGAAAATCAGCATTGACGCTTTTTGACACTCGAAAGATGAGCTGTTTCGTCTTCCGGAAATATGTTGTTCGACGACAATGTCAACATACGAATAACGTTTTTTTTGCACAAAATTTCTGTTCATATTCAAGTTATCAGCTACAATCGTTTTATTTTGTTTTTATCTTTAAAAGCTGTCAATTTGAATGTAGCGTGTGAATACTGTGTCAGATTCACATACTGTTAGCTGACGGAAGGTTTCTCGAGGTCTTTTGGACACGAGCTGTCCAGCCTGAACACTAATCCAGCCACATTCCCTTCATTGTACTTAATAGATAAGTACAGTTCATAACTTTTTCTCATTTCATTCATTATTTCACTATTTTAGTTTTATACTCTATTTCATTTGATGTACAAACGTCCACTGGTCAGATGAACTTTCTATTTCTTTTCTTTTTCTTTTTTTTTCTTCATTCTTTTCATTTTGCATTTCCTTCTCCTTCTTTCATAGCCTGGATTACCAGATTTTGTAATTTCCAAACATCCTTTTCTCCTTATTTGAAACAGTTCATAACACATTTCTATTGAATATTTGAATCCTTCTCTTCATATTTCGTTCACAAAAGGAAATCACATATGTTTCTACCTCTTTGAAGAGCTCCCCCAACAGACTTCTTGACTGACTCAGAAACAACAAAAAAACTGTCGGCACCAATTGTCTCGAAACTCCTTCAAGTTTACCAAAAACATCTTGAGGTCAGATGGACTTCTCGCCTCTTTCCAAACTATTTCATATAATTTACATCATATATTATATATGTATTGCTTGAATGTTTCTTATATAACTATTTTGTTTTTTTCTTAAATGTCATATAAGGAGTGTCGGCTTTCAAATGTTAATTCGGACATCTTCTTTTTCTGCGAACAAACTGTCCTTTGCAAATGCAATGACGGAACATTTGATTTCAATCGCTTTTGCCTTTTTTTTTGCTTTCTTTATCTTCATCCTAAAATGGTAATTATTTGAAAGATGGATTTGTTAAAATATTTTTCAAATCAAATTTATAATCTAATCGTCACATCATACTCGATGGCTTTTATCTTCCCATATATGTCTAACAGATGTTTTTCTTCTCATCTCCTCATTTCACCTGTTGTTCTAGTACTGTGAAGTACCTTGTCGTCATCTTCAACTTACTTTCATCTTTTCTCTCTCTCGCAATATCTTATTCTCTCATATGTTTCTTCTTTGCATTTAAAAGAAAAAGATAAAAATCTTCTTTTTTTCAGGAATGGCCGACACTACGTGTGGCCGTCTGGTGTCATTCCTTCTCGAAGGTGATGAAGTCATTTCATGTGAAGTATGTATGGAACCATTTGATTCCAATCTTCGTCCACCAAAAATTTTACCTTGCGGTCACAACTTTTGCGAACAATGTCTATTTAGTCTTTGCTGTCATCAACAGGTATGTTAACTATGCTATCTATTCGCAAATAGTAAATGATTTCAGTACTATTTATTGGATTCTATTAACTGTCCTACTTGCCGAGCTTCATTCACAACAGCTGTAGCTCGATCAGCTCCCACAAATTACGATTTATGCAGTAAGTTTTCATTTTCTCACATTCAAATTTTCTAAGTCTTTATAAAAAAAAAGTCTTCGTTTTTTTTTGTTAAAAATCGGTCGCTCAAGCATGTAAGAGTAACGAAAATCCTTTTGGCAATAGCTAACCGACGCCGAAGTCTGGATGAATTACCTTAAGTTATAATGGAGGTCATGAGAAGTTTGTTAACTTTTGGAAAAAAAAATAAAAATATAAATGAATATGACCTTAGATGGTATGAATTAGCATATCATATTTCGTATTATGTATAGTTAATATTATAATTAGGTAACAGATGCTTTTATTTTTGCAGAAATGCTCGATAATGTGCAACGCGGATTTAATAACACCACTGTCCTCCATACACCAGAGGTTACTGTAATTGAGAAGGAGAAGCTTGGAAACGTTGTTAAGGGCTTAGCTGAGAGGAGTCGGGAAGCAAAACATCAACGGTAAGGCTTTTTTCCCAATCATTTAAGGTCATTCAAGTATTGACAAATACTTAACATACTTAGAACCTAATAACCAGATGTTACAGATGCTTGGATTGTCAACGCAAGCTTTCATCAAAGAACTTATCAAAAATTGCCAGATATTGCGTCATGTGCAACAACTCTGGAAGCTTGGTTCGTTCGTTCTTCCTCTTACCTTCCTCTTACTTTCTGTTTCTCCAGAAATTCTCTTGCTTGGAATGCTGCGTTAATAATCATAATGGTCACCGACTCTATTCGATTCCACAGATGGAGACTAGCCAACTTGCGGTTCGTCAACTATCGCAAGATCTTCCATCATTAACTATTGGTTTCTTTCAGATCTTATCTGAACTTCGTGTTATTCGTCGCAAAATGTTGGACGCTTCTGAAGCTTTCGACCGTCGTCTAAAAGAAATCGGAAAGAAAGGATCTATCCATACTCCTGCTCTTCATGCTCAGAAGCAAACCTTACTCAGCGAGATCTTAGGCCAGATTGATGAAGCTGTACGTAAGATGGAAGAACCTAAGCTCATTCCGCCAACCAATCTCAAGTTCGTTCCTTATTTGTATTGCAAAAAGGTGTTGCGAATAGAAAATGAGAGAAAAAGTAAGAGAGGAAAGGAGATAAGCCGAGAGGAAGAAGTGAATAAGCGAAAGAGACTGTGAGAAAGAATGAAGGCGGTGGAGAGCTGTCTTCAAGTATCTTCATAGATGAAAGCTAGTTCTGATCATTGTGCTCATCAATTCTCATTTCACACCAATACTTTCTATTTTATAATATTTTCCTATTTCAGTATAATCCGCAATCATCAAATTCATAATTTCTCCCGAATAACCAAGATGAACAGTCTGTTGGAGAAATCAGTTCAGACGGAAAAGCATAGCTCGGACGAACCCCCACAAAGTCGTTTGAAGAAAAGCAGTGAGTTTTAATCATTATTTTTTTATATCATAATTATTTTCATCTTTCGTGTTTCTAAGTCTATTCTTTTTCAGATTCTGCTATTCGTCAATCAAGACTGTCCCTGCGCTCTGATAATTCTCTTACAAGAGAAGCTTTATCAACCCTCCTATCAATTTTACCCTCCGATGAAGTTACAACTCAATTGAGTGAAATCTTAGATTCAATTTCTCCCAAAGATACAATTGAAGAAAGAAAATTAGCATATCTTAAGTCAACCCATTTAATAACTGAAATCACATATGGTGATGTAAATGCCGAAGACCTTCCATTATTTGCTGACGCTCTTCTCAACTGTTTTTATCAATTGAATGTTCTCTCTCGTAAGCGTAATGAGAAAGGACGTACAAGTCGTAAGAACATCTGGAAGAGTGTTCAATTCGCTTATGCCCAAATAATGAAAATTGCTGCCAAATCTTATCCTGCTTGTCATCCTGAGCGAGTTGATTGTCTCGATGATTTGGCTTATCTCTGTCATTTATTCTCTGATGTTTGTGACCAAGCTACTGTTGCCCTTCTAATTATCGAAGCTGCTCGAGCTCGATCAGCTGAGGCTAACTTGCCAGAAGATGAATTACGACGTACCGATCAACGCCTTCAAGTGAGTTACTCCCTCATTCTTCGAATTTTTTCTTTTTTTTTCTTCAAAATTTTTATTTATTTTTCTTTTTGTTTCAGATGATTGATGATCACCTCATTGAACTTCGACGTCTTCAAAAGTTACAAGATCTTCGATCGAAAACAAAAATTAAACGCGAAGGTGGACGTTTCAAAGCCTTCTGGAAGGCTATTACTGGACGTCGTTAACTTCTCAGTTATATCCTGGTTGTCAATTTTAAGCTTTTGCTTTAAAAAAGAACAAATTGTATTTATTAGAGAATTTTATATTATCGGTTCTGTGTGTATGTTTTGATATTTCGTCTCGTTCTTGTCCACATTTTTACGGGTTTTTTTTCAAATCTTTTTTTTTTGTTTAAATTATAATAAAAGTCCTTGTAATTATCCATATGTTCTCGTACTCATTCCTTCAAAGGTCACTTCAACTTTTTTCAAAAAATCCAACAAATCCGTTATGCCACATAAACAACTTGAAAAGGTTGACGAATGAATGCAACCGCTCAATAGCACATTAGAACTTCAAAATGGTCACCTGAGCTGTTTACAGGGGATGCTTACGTGTGATTCCAGCGTGAGATGTTTACGTAAGATGTTTACGTAAGCCGTTTACGTGATGAGTCGGATGTATAAGGTTCACTTGGTTCTAACGTACATAATGAGCTTGACTACTCCTGCTAATGAAGTTAAGCAGAAGTGCTTTTTCATGTTGAAGAAGAAAAAAAATATTTTTGATAAATATATAGAAAAAAAGTAGTTTAAACAGTTTTAATTGGACACGAAAAAAAGAACATTTGTTACTGGAAAGAATTGTTACAGCAATGAGTGTTGCGAGAATCACAATTGGATCATTCATCTCGTAGTTGTTTAAAAGAAATTAAAAAAAATAGAAAAGATTTTTCTTTCATTTTTTTTCAATCCGGTAGATGTTTTTGTTTGATCTTAATCAACAAAAACATTAATTAATTAATTAAAATATATTTAAACGACAATTCTTCACACAGACACCATGAACTCATCTATCTATGTCTGTCACTCATCGTCTCATTCTTCAGCTTTTCCTTCTTCTTCTTATTCTTCTCCGTAAATTATTACAATCTGAGAAATGAGGAAGAGGAAAGCTTTTGAAACTTTAAAATTATTTTTCATTATTAACTTTAAAGTTTAGTCGGAGGCAAAAAAAAAAAGAAAAACGAACAACGGAGATGCATACTAGGCTTTTCTCTCCCAAGAACGAACAGCAGATGTTTCTGATGTATTTTTCTCGTGGGAAATACGAATTCCGATAAGCGTTTGACTTTTAAGCTTTTCATAATGATGAAGACAGTCAACGAAAATCTTCTGTGCGGTCATAAGGCTGAAGGCATTTCTCCCTCTCATCCTCTCTCTCTGTCTGTACCTTAATCTCTCTTCATTCAGTTATCATCTCCCTATTATAATTGTGATAATAGTTGACGGTTCATGAAGCATATGACACACTCATTTCCATCATTTCGTCTATGGCTTGTCAGAGCCCAAAGTCTTATGTGCTCCTCCCTTCGTATCTCTTCCTTTCCATCTTCTTCTTCATCATTTAACTACTGCTCCACCTCCGCTACATACGAACTTTTCTCTTTTATTTTACATTAACCTCTTTCCCTTCTCCCTTGCTTCTCTATCACTATATCTCTCCTTTTCTTTTCTTTTTATAAATTTCTATGATGTTCCCAAAGCATATTCATATGTTTCACTTATTTATTAGCCGTCATAGACATCTTCTTGCTCTCTCTCTATCATTCTGATCTTCCTTTCTCTCTCTCTCTCTCTATCTCTCTCTCTTCCTGTCTACCTCTCACCATCATTCTCGTTCGCCTTCTTCATTACCTAACTCTTTATGAAATTATAGAATTGTATTCGCCAGCTTTATTAGTATTTTCTCTTTTGCCACTTATTTACAGAACAAAAACAAGTTTTATGTTTTCTTCTCATTTACGAAGTTTTGATCATCGAGCAAATCCTAAACCTCGAAATGCTCTCTCTCAAGCTTCCTCGTGTTCGTTCTCTCAATTCAAAAGCTCTTCGAGTTAAAAAAAAGAAAGAAGAGGAATTTTCAAGTTCTTAAATTTCTCGTTTAAATGATCTTTTCATCCTTGTTAACACTATTGTTTACCGTACCTATCATTTACTCTTCGAGCATTGAAGCTCGAACGATGAGGCAAATGGATTTCGTTCATCTCCCTCTCTCTATTTCTCCCTCTTTACCTATCTCCTCATGGACGAAGAGAAACAAAAATGTTATTGGACAGGCTATTTGCTCTTCAATTTTTTTTTCAAGTCAAGATTACCAGTTGTTCTGAATGAGTATAATTCGACTCTTTATCTCAAATGATATTCGACCCATGTCAGCTGTTTATGTTATGTCAACAAGAACCTGTAATGATTGGAGGAGAATCCATGACTGCCCAAGTAATCTTTAGCTTTTGGGTGAAGCTCAAGTAGTATACCATATAAGAACATATGGTTATGGGTGAAGAAAAAGATTCTTTTCATCAAGAAAGCTTCTTCCTCAATAGTATCCTTTCATTCCAATCCTTGTTGTCTCTGTATCTCTCACTGTCCCCCCTCTTCTACCTCATTGTTGGTCATCTGTTATTCAACATCATGGATTAATTAGAAGAGATGAAGAGCAATATGACCATATCCATATGAATGCATAACCAAAAACCTCCTCTCATAACTCTCTCTTTCTAGTTCACATATTGATTTCTATTCTTTCAGAAATAAAATGAAAATAAAGCAAAAACCTTTTGCCTCATTTTTTTTCATTTTCTCAACTCATTTGCATATTCTCATTGCAGCCCAATAAAACTCGAAATCGCATGTCCATTTGTCTTTGGAAGCATAATAATAAAACTAAAATAAAAATAGTTAAGAAGCTGACTGTTTGACTTCATTCTATTTTCTGCGAACAACTTGAACAAGTCAATGAAGTATCTGCGTTTGTTGAAAATATGAAAGAAAAAAAAATTTTGTTCTGCAAAAAAAGTTACAGAAATTTCTTGATGAGAGATTTTGTTGTTTGAAATGAATTGAAGTAAAACGAACGCCAATCTATTCTATTAGTATTCAGCTTCATCTTTTTTCTTTCATTTATTCAGATCTATTGCCCTTCGAGCACTGATGAATGAGATTCATCTAACTGACCAGCTGTTACTTTGAATTCACAGCTTGTTGCCAACTACTCACACCTTCACATGTTTTAACTCCATTTTTCTAATTTCAATGCATTGCAGGAATATGAATGTTAACCCATACCATGGGAAGCATGAACCTAAAGTGGATGATAAATTGGCTAATCTTCATAAAGAAATGACGTCATTACGATTAGAATGTGATCGTCTTATCAATAAACATCTTATTGTTGAAAGTAACTTGAATCAGGTAAGCAACCGGTTCTTAGCGTCTTTTGTTTTGAAATAGTTCTGATGTTAACACGTACTATGATTACACGTGCTCCACGGAGCTCTAACGTACCCTCCCAATGCCTGAACTTACTTTGCTTGTTTTTGCAGGATATCAAGAATGCTGGAGTACAAAATCCAGACACATCCAGTGCTTATAATACGGGTGGAGAGAGCTGCCGCAGCAACTCAATTACTCCGGATTCTCAAAAAAGGTATATTGGGGAAGTCAATCTGTACCGCCTATCATTACTTGCTTTTTAGACTGGAGTACGGCACTCCTGATTGTCAACAAAGTCCTATAGGTCCACCACCACCACCAACAACAATAATCAATCCACGATCGCCAAGGCTTATTCATCGATCTCACAACCTCTCATGTTCAAAAGATCTTCCAGTCTATCAAGAAGAGCCTCGGGTCGTTGACCTCAGTATGACCTCATCTATCTTTTCTTAACCTTTTCATCTTTCTTCAGAGAGTTCTTGTGAAATTGCCATAAATCGAAGCGGCTTTGATTTGACAACTCCGGGTTATTGCGAAAAGCCATTACCGACTCCAAAGCCTTTGCGTCGTGGAATTCAGATGACATCAACCACAAGTTTTAGACGAATGGGCAGTCCAACAAAATCAATTCAGAATCGTAAAGAAGCTCATGAATTAGCAAGACGCTTTAGGTAATGAGTAGTTTGGAAAAAAGCGAAAAGTAATTTGTTCTTTTTAAAGAGTTCCAGCCTTCTCAATTGTTTTACGAGAGCCGTCCGTGACGGTCAATCAACCGAAATCTTCAAAGAAGCTAAAAGTACTCAGTCATGTAAATAATAATGAAGAAGAAGAAGCTATTCCAATGCCAAAGTAAATTAAATTAAAGATAAAATGTTTAATAATGTGATTTGCAGGTCTTATCGTGTTCAGAAGACGCGAGAGAAGCTGTATATGTTTGATCGGCCGATTGAAGAAATTCCAGATCTTAGTGATGATGGCCAACAGCCGACAACTTCAAAAGAAGCTTCTTGTCAACAGGAGAAGTTGAAAGATGAACCTGTACAATTTAAGTGGAAAGTATGTTTCGAGAAAGAGGCAGAGAGAGAGGGAACGAGGGAGGAAGAGTAGAGAAGATTTAAAACGAAAACAATTAATTTGTCTTTTTTTCAGGTCAAAAGACGATGTGATGGCAGTCGTTATGTAGTTAAAAGGCCCATCCGAAGCCAAATTCTTAAGAAACGTGAAGCTCAACTGCTTAGAGAAAGGACGGGAATCAGTACTGATGACGATGCTCAAAGCGAACTCATGGTTACATCTACATCGTCAATCCGTTTAATTTAATATTTTTCCGTTCAGATGGGGCATTTCTATCGGAGAGAAGAGAGAAAACGTCATCTGGAAAAGGAACGTCTTCGAAAAGAACTTCAACAGCAGAAGCTTTTAGAGAATGTTGTTGCTGACCAAGTATGTGCTGTCCTTCATGTAACCGTCCGTCCTTATTCAAAATTCATTTTTCAGACAATCGTGCAGTTAAGTCAGCAAAAAATGCAAAAAAAGAAGGATAACATGTTATTTGATGAATTTGTTACAACTCAAGAAGTAATTCCATTTGCTTTTATCTATTTTCTCATATCACGTTTTATAGGTTTTGAGTCAGCGAAATACGTGTACTGTTGGTAAACCGGGAATTCTGTCGGTGACAACTGTTTAGACGATAAATCTATTATATCCTTGTTCTCTTTCACTTTGTTCAAAAACTGATTGCATATGTTCAATTGTTCTCCATCCAACCGTATGGTAACTATTTGTGATTAAAATTTGGCCGAACAAACCTCATAGCCTCATCATTGCACATATCTTAGTCTACCGACCAACTTTCTCTGCAATCTGTACGTGCTCTATACTAGTTTCAGTGTTGCAACATCAGGAATGAATATGTGTAATGAGTTTCGGGTACGGTTCCCTAACTGCATTGGATGAAAACAAAAGGAAAAGAGTTTTATTATGCTTTGCTCTTGTACTTCCGAACATTGTCTTCTACAGTTTCTGAAAAGTATAAAAGTATTTACATTTGGCTCATCTAAACTCACGTCGGAATATTCCATAGTATATCATGAAAGCACATTTCAAGACAACAAAAGTTATCTTAGACAGAAGAAATATTCCGAAGCAGGTTCCTGAACAGTAAGGAAATGAAGATGAGAAGGCTATCCTGAAAGACCCATAAAAAGTGGAAGGAGGCTTTTATTAGTTGGTGCTAGAAGATCTCTATTGAATAGTGGATTATAGTACAAAGCATGAGGATAAGCCATTCTGCTGAAAACGATAACATATGAAATTACCATACATACTATATCTACCTGTGGAAATTAGAAGGATTGAATAGTTTCTGTCTAAATATAGCTCTTCCGGTTGATTCGGAACTATTAACCGAGGATGAGCCGATGTTGGTCTACAATAAGTTCTGATAATCAGAGAGAGCTTGAGATGGCACACCAAATGATATACGCTAGTTGTTGTTCTATCCGTTTCATTCCTTCTGCCTGGTATTAAGTCAAGGAAAGAAACTAGTGATGATTGTCTGCAGTAATCACTTATGGTGGGTTGAAACAGAGGAAGGTTCGGTCTGCAATCACGGAATACAGATTACTGTTGCAAACTCTTACAAGTATAGTAAATAAGGTTTTTTGCGACGGATGGATGACATGAGGAAGAGGGATCCGTGAATTTCATAAGCTTTTAACTCAGGATACTCCAAATATAGCAGAATCGTTTCGCTTAAACATCACAGAATACTTGATTACTATTTGTATACCAACGACATGAATTTAGCCTTCTGACGTTCACGGCATCTAAGGACTTGTCCGACTAAAGTCGTGTAACTCATTGTTTGGAGAAAAGATTCAATTTCTGATGGCATATCAAACACATGAACCTTCGTTCTGTTTGAAGGTGGAAATAGTGTAGGAGGTAATATCACTGAAATCAAGTCTCGGTTCAGGATATCTGTGCATAGAGCAGACCTGGAATTGTCAAATAAAACTTGGGAGTATTGAAATCTTGCATTATCAGTTTCAACTCTTGTATCCTTAAAATATGTTTCAGGGACATTTTACTTCTTCGAACCTCAAGTCTGACTTCGTTCTGACCAGCACATACACTTTGTAACCAACGTTGAACATATCTTGGAAGATTTGGCCTGCAAATGACTTTGGGAATACAAAAAATAAAAATCAAACCTGGCGGTAATGCATTAGTTAAAAAGGTCTCTCGGTACTTCCGTTTGAAGATATACGCCGAACCGAAGTTATTTTTGAATATTGCTTTTCCACTTTGAGTCTCAATTGTCAAAGCTGTTTGAAAATGTCTTACCTTAGAGCGTTTTGAATTTCCAATCGAGGACCAAATATTCTCATTGCAAGTACTATATTCATAGTTATGTTATCCTTCTGAAAATAATTTCGATCGAATATTGTTAGTGTAAGATACAAACATCTTCAAATTGCATTGCGAAAACTTTATACTCTTCACAACGATGCTTTGGTAAACTGTGATCCTTCATTTTCCAGGATATCCCTTCCATATACTCATAAGCCACGCAATCCTTAGTCATTCCCACGGCTAGAAATAAGTTTTGAAGAAGCCAGAAAACAGCAAAACCCCATGGAGATGTTTCATTATCAAACACAGCTTCCACATCCATGTCATACTGGTCAAACGCTCCATATCTAATCTCATCAAGGTAAAATGCTGATTCCTGAAACTCTTTATGAATCTATCAAATATCCTAAATCACTCAACCGCTCTGAGAAGAATTGAAATACTTAGCAACCAGCGAAACAACATTTCACAGATTTAATCGTTCACAACAGCAATCTCACTTCCACGTGTTATGCTAATTTACTTATTCGAATCTAGTTTCATGCTCACGCATTTAGAATCACACCAGCAAGTCTCCAATATTTCTTTTGTCCTTCTGTCCATTTGTTTAGAGTAATCAGTTCACGAAATATGCCACGTGGTTTTACGTGGGAACTCAACCGAATTCTAGAACGCATTTCAGAAAATTGGCCTGAAAACCGGTTGTTTGAGTTTAAATTCTATTGTTCTAGTTCTTAGAACCCGAAATACGCGTTATGAACAGTTCAGCCAACATAGAAGAGGTAAAATTTTTTGTTAAATTATGCCAGGAAGAAATTTACATAAACAGGAATAAAACAGATTCGCTAAGGCACGCATAGACATAGAAAACAACAAAAAGTTTTGAAAAGTATTCGAATCACAATACGCATGTATCACAGTCATATATATTACAGAGAAAATGAGGAACATAAAAATAACTTAGGAAACTCTGAAGAAAGAGAAAAGAAGTGAATTTCATCTAAGGTTCGTACCGGGTAGGTATACATAATATTAGAACATGTGTGAAAGAATGTAATGGAATAAATAATGTTTTATCATATAAGATAGACTTGAAGCTTTGCTTTACCTATATAACATACAAATTTTGAAATTTAAGGTTTGAACAGTTAAGGGCTGCTTGAAGCAGGCAAATGCCTACGAGCGCCATCGAACACGCTCATCAATGAGAAAGCATCAGCAGTGAGTTCGCAGATTTCCCGATCACCCCATGACTGAGTGGGTAAGTTTTGCAATAAAATCATGATTCCCTTGAAAAAATCTTTGAAACACATTATTTTAAACAGTCTAACCTGAAAGTCTTTTTCGTTTTGAAGTTGTCGCGACCAAGTACGGAGGAATGCCGCGCAAACATAATTGTGAAACTGCGAGAAGCCATCCGGTTCACTCTGAAAAAACAAACTCTTAGATCAGTCGAGCAATTACTTTATCTGTGGGGTCGCGAAAAAAACAAACTGACCAAATAAGTGTCCCAAAGTCGAATTGTTGCTCTCAAAGGAATTTCTCTCATCAATAAGTTATTCATCCAACGGAAAGCAAATTGGAGATACTCAACACCATTGCTCTCGAGATGCTTGTGCAATGGTTCTAAAAGAGGAAGTAACTACGAAACAAGTTGGGAACAACTCACTATCTACACGACTTAACAGATGCTTAAGCTGCAACACTTTTCTTTGAATACCAGGCTGAGCGAATGTGTAGTTATCCTTAAAACGAAGTGAAGTTATTATGAACTCTTTTGAATAGCTTACTTGGATAGAATCAAGAAGAGCACTTACACACCAGAAAGAATCTGCTTCAACCAACTTGCATTGTTCGAGAGGAAGTTGGGAAACGTCGAAAGATCCAACCTGGTTAAAGAAATATAGAACGTATTAAGATTAGTTGTTATACCTCAACGTCTTGAGGAATGAACTCAGAAAGGAAAACAACGAAGAATGGTGTGACCAAATCATTTATACCCTGTACATATCCACTGGCGGGATGTCGAATGGCCCAGATGTACAGAATATGTTCAAACATCTACAAACAACAGGATTTATAAGCATAAACTAAAGAACACATACCTCTTGTACCATTTTTTGTTGGAAGAGTGGGATGAGAGGACACATCCGTGGGATATCAATATGAATTTGACGGAAAATTTCTGCATTTTGATCATCGAATCGTTGATGGAAATACTGCTCTACATAATGCCAATATTCTTCTCTTTTACGTTCCATAGTGATTTCTCTACGATCAGCATTAGTTGGCAAATATCCCTGCAAAGAACAGTATTGAATGAATGAGGACAAAATATTACCGATAAGATTCTCCATGCTTGTGGTCTAAGTTTGTGTGGGATACCCATCCAGCAATCCTCTCTTGAATGCGAAATAGAAATAATAATGAAACAGTTAGATACCTCAGTTTGTCCATATCGATATCAGCGGGGGGCGATGCTCTTCCCGAACTTTTACCATTGGAGAATAACCGACGGAGACGATCAAATCTCGTTTGGTCGTGGGATCCTCCTATTGAAATATGATTTCAGTTACTTCATAAGAATAAAAAAACTACCTGTAGAAGCTACGTTAGAAGCAATATTAGTTGAGCGGCATTGATCTCCCGAAATTTCGGGCAATTTGGGATAAATTGGGTTTGCATTTTGGACAGGGCTAGCGATACTCGAGGGTAAAGGTTCTAAAAACATTGTTCATAAAGAGCATATGAAGTTGATGATTGACCTTTCTGTATAGCGAGCCGTTGAAGCGCTTGAACTCTACTGTTTTTTGTGTGAGGTGTACTGACTGGAGGCATGATCACCTGAGAAGACAATAATTTAAAAGCCAAATCGAAATTTACAAACCTCATCTCGACTTTTTCGAGCCGCATGGGCAGCGAGAACATGTGCAGCGGAAGCAGAAGCCAAGTCATCATCTAACTTCACTCGCGTATCCCAAGCATCTGATACACTAAAAGAATAAACATAGGAAGAATTTACATTAAACAACTGAAAGCCAAGCCACCCTATCAGCAATACTACATCTAATCGCTTCCCAAAACTCAACTATTTCGCTTTAGCTACTAACCTATTCTCATAATCTTGGAATTTATCAGTACGAGAGTCATGTTTCGTAGGACTTCCCGACCCAGTAGACTGATGAAGGGGAGGATAACGTGCTCCATAAACTGGTTTCACACTGAAAGATGAGCACAAGAGTTTCCATTCCCAGAGACAACGAGAAAATTTTTTTTTCCCTAATTTTTACCTCCCGGGAGTGGAACCAGCAGACCAACGACTCATCTCATCTGATCTCTGCTTATTTGGCACTACAAAGAAACCCACAGAATATGTGAAAACGGTGTTCGACTAAACAAAAAACCTCGAAACGATCAGTCATAAAAAAAGAGAAACATAATTCGAAAGACAGAGACAGTAACCGTACGCTGCGGAAACGGACAATGTTAGCAATGAGTTGGAATGTTGGATAAAAACATAATTTCCTTTTGAGAAATTGAAACGATTTCGTTGTTCATTCAAGAGATAGTCGTTCTTGCTATCCAATCATATCAATAACATAAATAATGATTGATAAACAAGAAATCATTTGGCTTAAATCGATAGACGAGAATCAGCTTTGCTGGCTGATTGCTATGCATTGTGCGCTTACTGCAAAAGGGGCGTGGCAACACATAGCATTTCAGACGTGAGTCTTTTAAAGTTCTCGATAAGATAAACCTTATAATACTGCTTCTTGCATGTAAATAATAATCTTATTAAGTGTTCCTTTTATAATCCTTCAACTTATCATTTTCCATTTTGAACATTCCATTTATGTGACTCAAAATCTACCGAAATCTCTTTGAGTTCTGAATGCCAACCCATCAATTTTCTTTTGATTCCAATAAAATATTTCAATTTTCTATGAATTCATATGAATATTGAGATCGAATTTTGAGCCCCTTTTTCATAAAACAATTGTTGAAATTGAAAAATTGCTCTTGTTTGGATGGCTTTGGCTTTTAAAACAAACTTACTCATTGTTATTTATTTCCGTGACCTTTTCAGCTATCTGATCAAGTTTTGGAAAGCACAAATTTGTGCACATTAACATGCTCATTCTTCTTTTTCTCTGAAAACGGTAAATCATATCAAAAATGTGAAAAAAGGCAGAGTTTAATTACGCGGAATTACTTATTCTATTTGAAAAGACGATTATCTGATTTGATCGTAAAGAGTGATGTCATGTTGGTGATGAAGAGAAAAAAATGCAACCGCTCTCATAAGATAAACGTTTCAAAATGAAGGAAATTGTATTGGCGGGAAGAGTGAATGGCACGATTTGAACAAGTGAAAGGAGTCAAAGTTTCGATAACAAGTAAAATGTATATATATATATATATATATGAATGAAACTCGTTTAAATATTATGTATACGATTTGATGTAGTAAATAAAAATAGCTACAACATCATCAATCTCATCATCATCATCAGCATGATGTTCCTCGAGGCAAAATTCCGGAACTGAGCACTCAGGTATCAGATTATGGTTTATAGATTATTAAACAAAGATATATGCCTAATCCAAAAAAATATAAAACAAACTGGTAGTGTTTAGTACAATTGGGTACAAAATAACAATAAGAATAGTTATGAGAATGATGCGAAAAACATCTTTTGAACGGCTATCGTCTCCATTATGTGTTAAACGGTTTGGAAAGCTTTTAATAAACGGTTCAAATAAGACGTTTGTGCAATGAATAAGTCCCTTGTAAAGTTGAAAGAGAGCAATGAGAGAGAGAGAGAGAGAAGAAAGAAAAAAAGAGGGAGTGAGATGAGGAGAAGATGGATCGAAAAAAAAAAAGAAATTCAGAAAAAGGAGCGGGGATCAGTTGTGCAAACAGAACGGACACTATTTCTCGTGGACAATAAACTTCACAGAGAGGAAAAAACGCAAAGGAGAAACAGAAGCGGAGATAGAGAAATCGGTTTTGAAAAGCTTACAATGCATCTATTTATCCATATTTGGCTAGCAACAGATGAGTAATTATTGAAAAAAAGAAAAAAAAACTAATTTTCCTTGTTTTCTTTTGTCTAAAGAGATAAGGATGATGTTCTTATTCTCCTTTTTTCCGGCCCATAAACGAGATAATTTGGAACGAATTTGGAACGATATGAATAAACAACAAAAATAATTTTTGATCAAAAAGAGAGAGAGAGAGAGGGAGAGAGAGAGAAAGAGTGATATTCATATGAAATTGGAATTTGTAAAGAGTTTGAGGCTTGAAGTCACCGTACGAAATGAACGTTCTTCGTCTTCCGTATTGGTTAACCAAATGAGGAGAAATGAACAGACAGAGTTTACTTACATGATTTACGTCGGTAAATAACAAAGAGAAATAGTGAAAAAGCTGTTTTCTTTTGTACAACACAGACAGAATATCCAGAGCATTTTTGTAACTTTTTTTTTGTGGCAAAATCAATCGTCTGCTCAAGGCTTGTCTGGTTTTTTTGTTGAAGAAAAAGAGTCTTCGTCATCTCTCGACTTTGACTGTCCGGCTTTTGCTCACTTATGTTTCATTTCTTTGAAGAAGAAGAACTGATGAAGGTTGGAAAAATAGACAAAAAAAGGAACAAAAATTTTCCGTTTTCGGACTTGTCAACTGGACATACGAGACCGGATTGTGCGACTGAAGGTTTCACACAATCCTTCGCATCCCCCACACACACAGCTCATGATTAGAAATGGCAAAGATGTCGTCTTCAACCGCACAATATTCTTTCAAATTTTTTTATGACTTCCATTTTTGAAAAGAAGCTCTTTGTTGGAGGATGAGTGAGACGAAGACGAAGCATCATCATCACACACACACACACACACGATGACGTAGGATGGAGTAGGAGAAAAATATTTTTTTATATTTTATAAATTAAAAGTTAACCGTATGTACATAAGTGGAACTGTGTTTGCTTCAATCTATGAGTTACCCCGACTGGCACATAGCAGCTTAAATTCATCGAAAGCTCTTCATTCACTGCTCAAAATCAACAGATTTTTACATTTTTTTTTCAACAGATAAAAAAAATTATTTGTTTTAATGTCCATCTGTATTAATTTTGTTGATTTGAAAAAAAGCTGATTGAATGAATTGAATGGAACGGACACAAAAAAAGATGAAAAAAATTGTTTTTGTTGAAAATGAGAAAGAAGAAGGAAATGTTGAAAACTATGTGATGATTAAGGCTATTTATATCATCCAACAAAAACATATAAAGAAATGTTACAAAAGAACTTATTTTATTAAGAATTTACTGTGTAAAAGCTTTTACAAGAAAAATGTATATGAGGGAGTGAGAGAGATACAGAGAGAGCTATAGAGGTGCAACGAGAGAGGAAGAGAGAGACATGAAGGAGGAGTGCTGGTCATCCGTGATTCGTGACCATCGTTGTTGTCAGATGATGGTGAACGCGAATCGTTTTTTTGCAAAAGAAAAGAATAAGCAAGAGCCAAAAAAGGAGAGAAACCAGTTGATTTATAAACAAAATTAAATATAAATTAAAGGAAGAAATGAAGCAGACATATTATGGAAACTGAAAAGAGTTAACTGTGAGAGAGTGAGAGAGATAGAGAGAAAGAGGTATATAGAGAGAGAAAGTATCATTTAATAATACTAAATTCAACATCATCCAAACCATATGGATGGATAAGCAGCTGAGTCAATAGCTCATCTTTGCGAATGACAAAAAAAGTTTTTATATTTGAATATGAAATATATTCATTTTTGGAATATATTGAAACGGAGATTGATCGATACTTTAGTGATTGAAGCTTCAAATCGAGTTAATTACGTGTATGACATCATGCTTATTTGGTTTGTTTACGTTCTTCACGTGCATCGTATTAGCTTATGATGGTTCCATTCAGACTATTCAAGACGACACAAAGCGGTTGATCGTTTTATTACAAAAAAAAGAAGTTTTAAAAACTAATTTGAAAATTCATTTAGAAACATTCAATGGGGACATTGAACTTGGTAACAAAGCTTTGCATGTTCTCGAGCATGTCAGAGGTAAGTTCGTTGTGGCGAACAGCTTGCATAACTTCCTTAACTCTTCTGTCAGTCTTCGGAAGACACTTGAAGATAACGTTCATTTCCTTAGTCTCAGCGACGTTGTTGAAGCATCTCTTCATTGGCTTCAAGGAAACACAGATACGCTCAGCCTCTTCGATAACTTGGTAAGTTTCTGAAAGCAATGTATGTTTTTTGTAGATTGTCAATTAACTGACGGTCATCGTGCTTCTCTTCGTATAATCTGGAGTAGTCGGTCTTCTTGACGATTTCTGGTTGAGGTTGAGCCTTGATGAACTTCTCTTCCTCATCGATAGAGCATCCCTTGGCAGTGTTGTAGCTGCAGAGGAACTTCTTGTAATCGGTGGTAACGGTGTTATCGGGAAGAACCATATCGTTGGATTGCTGGAAGAAAGTAATCATGTAAAGAAAGAGAAGAAGGCACAAAATGATTGTGGCATTTAAGAAGAGAAAAAAGAAAAAACGAACATCTTGATCGAAATGTCCACAGATTCCGCATTGCTTGTTCATGTACAATGGGCTGATGTTAACGAGAACTTTACCATATTGCAATTCAACTTGAATTTCGGGAAGGGAGACAATGAATCCATTTTGAGATTTTTGGATGTTGTAGAGGTTGTAGCTCTTCTCAGTGATTTGCTTTCCGTTAACGAGGAAGTAGTAGATGTCCTTGTTCTCATCTCTGATGAATTCGATAACCTTCTTGTTGTTAACAATCTTGACGTCGAATTCCTTCTCAGCGTTTCTCTTACCCAAAACCATGAAGCGAGGGTTTTCGAGGTTGGCGCAGTCCTTGGCGAAGAGAGTGTATCCGGACAAGGTTGGGAAAGGAATGGAAGATCCATCGAAGGTGTTCAAGGAGGTCTTTCTGATGGAGCAGAGAGCAGAGTACTTTGGTGAGACGTTGGATACGAGTTGCTCAACGTTCTCAATAGTCTTGTATCCGACAATGGTGTTGAGGGATGGAAGGTTGAATGGAAGACGGAGGTTGTTAACGGTGACACGCTCGTTGTCGCATTCAACATCAAAGTGGAAATATTGACGGCGAGTTGGTTCGATAACTAATTGAGCAGAAAGACGGTGTCCAGCATTGGCGGAAGAGACAGTCTTGGTAGTTTCAACGGTGCTCTCGAACCATTTGTTGAGCTTGAAAAGAGAGAAAAGTTCTTGAAGACGAACTTCCATGAGTGGGAAGAAACGGTAGTTAGCTTGGAGTCTGTACATATCTAAACGTCCAGCTTCAGCCAAAATTTCTTCATCATCGAAAGTCTTCTGGAGTTGGGAGAGAACTTGCTTGTTTTGGATGTTGCGGAGCCAAAGTCTTTGCTTATCAGAGTGCATACCGTGGAAGTTCATGTTCAAGAAGTACTTCTCATCAGATCCCCAGTTGGCACGGATGAAGCTGGTGAAATCACGGTGCTTGTCTTCCAACATATCTTTAATGTTGTTGATGAAACGTGGGTAGAGGCTCTGTCCGAAAACACGGAGTTTCCAGTCGCGGCTTTCAGATCCAATAGCCATGCGGTCGACCTCGGTGTTCCAACGGCAGTAACGGAGTTTGTCGTCACAACTAGCAGAGATGACAACATCGGCAATCTTAGCTTCTGGAGAAATAGAAGATTCAAGGTGAGCAACCAAGGAATGCTTGTAAGCCTTCTCAATGTTCAACTCCTTGAAATATTTGTTGAAATGTTCGAGTTCCTCAACGTTCTTCTCGTAAGACTTGTAGTACTCCTCGAAATCGGGATGAAGCATACCTTCGATAAGCTCGAAAAGTTTGCTCTTGATAACAAGAACGTAATCACGGGACTTTCCAGTGGAAAGGAAGTTAACGTTGTAGTAGAAGTCAGAGAACAAGTGGTAGAATGGGTGAACCTCGTTCATAACATAAGTAGAGGGGTGGATCCATTTTCCTTCAGTTTCCATATCGAAACCGCTGTTCTTGAAGTAGATCTTGGGCTCATCAAGTCCAGCAGCAACAGTTGTTGGGTACATGACGGTAGTCTCTTGAGCCTCTGGGTAGAACTTGGTGCTCATTCTCCAGAAAGACTTGAAGTAAACTGGGTGAGAACGGAGTTGGAAGATGTTTTGAGACTTGTCGAGGGTCTTGAAAGTGTAACGAAGTTGAACATCTCCATTTTCCCAGTTAATTTCAGTCTTGAGGTTGATTGGGTGTCTGATCACAAGGTGTTGGTTGAATCTGCTTCCCATTTGGATGAGTTGAGAGTTATGAAGGAGCTCAATTTGATGGAAAAGGATGAAAGTTGGTTCGGCTTCAAAGTGAATGTTCAATCCGGTCCATTTGTCACTCTTGACTGGGGTGAATTCGAACTTGATAGATCCATTAAGAGACAAAACAACTGGAAGACGAGCAGAGTAGACAAGGGGGATTCCGGTAACGGAAGGCTTTCTAACGATGAATTCGTAAGCGTTGAAGATAGAGTTAAGACGGAAGGGAAGGTTTTGAGAAAGCAATTCTTCAACAGCTCCCAAACGCATCTTACCATCTTGGAAAAGGTTCTTGATGGTCTCTGGAATATCTTCCAAATCGAGTGGAACGAAAGCGAAATCGAGATCACGGAAACGGAAGTAGATGAGAGCGCGAGATTCGTCCTTGTTGACTGGGCGGGGGGTGATACGGAGCTTCTCAATGATTCCTTGGAACAATTGGATGGGGTTGAATGTAACAGTTGATCTCTTTTGACGAGTGATCAAGTTTTCAATTCCTTCCTTGCTGTAGATCTCCATAATTTTTTGAATGACAAGCTCAGCATTACGTTGAGTCATTCCAATTTGGAAGAGGTTCTTCTCCCAGGTCTTTCCGAAGACAACTTCCAAGTGACTGCGAAGTTCTTGTGGAAGAACGCTAGTGTTGGAGAAAATGGAGCTGAGTTGAAGTCCATATCCAGCTTCCCAGGCGTTTCCGAAGTGAGTCCACTTAGTTTGTTGAGTATAAAGCTCCTTGCTGTGCTCGAAGTGAGTAAGAAGTTTGCGGAGTTGGAGAGCGAATTCACGTTCATGAGGAAGCTCAGATTCGGAGATAGTCTTCAAACTGGAGTATACGTAGCTTTGCAAATGAGTGTTGTTCTTCAAATGCTTGAAGATTTGGAGAAGGACGGCTTCATTTGGTTGGGTACGGAGAACTTGAGTCCAGGCAGCCATGCGAACTTCTTGTTCTTCGTTTTGATCGTAAAGAACATCCAAGAGTCTCTTTTGAATTCTGGAGGTCAATGGCATACGGCGAAGAGCATTGATAGCTTCAACACGAACTTCGAAGTGAAGCTTGTTGTTGTTGATCATCTTCTCGAGCATTGGAATGGCTTGTTCGTATCCAGCATTGGCAATAGCCTTAAGGTAAAGAGTTTGATCATAACGATCAGAGGCAGAGTTGAGCTTGTTGATGATATTGTCAATAAGCTTTTGCTTAACTTGCTCGAAGTTCTTAACGTTTTGCTTGGTTTGACGGAAAGATCCGAGAAGGGCTCCATAGGAAAGCCAGCAAGATTGACGAACGACGCTGGAGCGCTTAGCCTGGTCAGACTCGCAGAAAGCGAGGATATCTTCAGCGATAAGCTCGGAAGTGAATGGAGATTGGCTAACAATCTTCAAAAATTGGACGATAGAGACAGAAGACATGGATTTCTGCTTGTAGACTTTTTGGAGCAAAACACGAACAGCTGGGCGAGTTCCAGCAGTAGCCAAAGCGTTCTTGATGAAATCACGGAGCTTCATTTGAACCTCAGAATCGGCATTCTTGTATTGAACAGAGGAAACCCAGTTCTTTTCGATGTTTTGGATATCAACCTCGTTGCACCAGCGCAAGACTCTAACGAAACGGATGAAATCCTCAGCCATAGCATGCTTGTCCAAACGATCGATAACACTAACGATCATATTGGAAGCAACTTCAACGTAGTTCTTGATATGGATTGATCTGTCAATCATGTTTTCAACTCCAGAACCTCCGAAGATATCTTCACTATCATCAGATTCTTGGTTGTAAATGATGCTCTCCTCGGTCATTTTTCCTTCAAAGTCGAACTTCTCATCCATCTTTTGGCTCTCAACAAAGTTAAGTTGGATCCAGGAGTAAGAGTTGAAGAGTGGCTCAGCAGATTCGGCGAAAAGCTTGGAGTGTTGGAGAGACTTCAAGGTAATTTGGCGTGGGTACCATTTTTGTTCATCAGAAGTCTTTTGCAAAAGGATCTTAACAGATGAAAAATCATCAGAATCTCTTTCAGACAATCTGTTGTCATTCAATTGACAATGGCTGTGATTGACGTATTTGAACCACTCAGAGGTGTTCTCCTCGTCAGAAACTCTGCTGTAGACAACTCTGCATTTTCCCATCAATGTCTATAAATATTATATAAATGTTCATAGATTACTCTTTGACTTACTTCTTCAACATTTTCGATATCAGTGGTCAACTTCTCGAAGACGAAGTCATCCTCAGAGTGTTGATTCTTCTTCTCGTGAAGATTGATCTAACATCATTTAAATTTTCAACATTATAAAACAGGGAGGTAGCTACCTGGAGCATGTTGATGAAAGATTTCTTCATGTTTCTGGACCAAACGGGATCAGCTTCGGAGAATTCAAGCTTTCCGACGAGTCCGTTGATGTATTCGAAACGGAAAGGAAGAGCTAAGAAATCTTCGTATTGCTTAAGAGAAAATATTTGTTAGCAGAAGAGCACAATAACATTAAATACCTTTTCATCAGTTACATCAGAAGATTGTTGCTTAAGATGCTCAGAGTCAGTCTTGACAATCTTGGCCATGATGATTTGCTCATTATCCTTAGATGGAGCAAGAACAATTTGGGAGTTAGTCAAGTAATCATTCTTAGAATTGGTAGAAGCGTAAGCTGTTCTAATGGTTGAATTGACAGCAAATTGATAACGATATTGGCGTCCAGAAGTGAATCCAAAATCAAAGGTAGAAGCTGAGGAAGCAATAGCTAAGCTAGCTAATAATCCAACAGCAACAAAAAGCTTCATGATTGTGAAACTTTTGTTGTTGGATCCGTTTAGATGCTCAAACACACCACGCTCAGATAAAAGTCTTTTAGAGAATTCTTGAGTTTATATAGAATTAACAGATTGACGTCTAGAACTCATTTGTGTGTTAGCTATCAGTTAAGATGAAGAAATTTGAATGACAGCTTGTAACTATCGAATAAACAAATACCAAAGTTCGTAATAATCATTTTGCAAAGGAGAGAAAAAAAGAAAATTTTTAAATCCCTTTTAATTAGTTACTACTCTCTCTATCTTCATCCTTCTTTCTCTTTTTTATTCTTTTTTTTTTGATTTTTTTTTCAATGAATTGTTATTCATAGAAATTAGATTGATTGCTTTCATCAGCTTCATCTCAAACTGTTCCAGATAATTAATAAATTTATTCTTTTTTTATTAATATCTATGATTCAACTTTATCATCGTTCAGAAGTTTTTCATTGGAATTCTTCGTTCCACATAAGAGCAGCGAGTTATTGGCATCATCATATGCCTGCAATTATTTTTCATTCATTTGCTCAACATTCTACTCAATTATTCTTACTTGTTCTGGTGTTTTTCCTTTGGTTTCAGGCAAATAGTAATACAGTATTACTGTAGTCAAGATGCATGATGGACAAAATAAAACGAAATATGCTAAAGGTCCACCCAATCCAACTTTAATTGGATAGTAAACAGAAAGCAGGATAGATCGTCTGAATGCAACTGTTCTGTGAGTCTACCCATCCATTTACACTCACGTTCCGTAGAAAATGACATTAGCCCATGTGCAAGCTGCTCCGCGTGCTTTTTGAGAAACTAATTCACCTTTAAGGAAACTAAGTCATGAGCTTTGGACTTTAACTCTTTAATAAACCTGTAATAAAGAAAGAGATAGGAGCTGGTCCGATACAAATTATGAAACTGAAAAATGCAATAGCAGCTACAACTCCCCATCCCATCCAAACGTTCTAAATGCTTTTGCTCTTCGCCATTTTTTTCTAGATTTCAATAGCAAACCTGCGAGCGATCAAAGCCATACATCAAGCCAGAAATTATAATATTGTTAACCGCTAATAAACCAAATATAATCAACAATAATGGGCGACGTCCTTGCTTGTCAATAAGAAATGATGCAGAGATGTTCCCAAACTAAAACGTTATAATTGTTTCCTACCATTAAATATAATAAACAAACCACAGTAACTAAGCATATAATTATGTTTCCGATGGAAGCTTCAAGTGAACTTAAGCCGACGGAAACTAGAATTTCGAATGCAAATGAGTTAATTGCTGAAAAAAATGAAACTGTCAAACAAAAAAACATTTTTGTTCCAATCAAAGACCAGCTATTCCACTGTATGTTGTAGCAACTAGACAGAGTGATCCTAACAAGCATCCCTTGACAGACATCTTGTCCTTCAATTCAATTGTTTTTCGTTAAACTCATTATGTTAGTTTATAGACCTTAAAGATAGAGAATAATCCCAACACTTCTTGCTTAACATTAGCTTCATCCATATCAATCAATAAGATTTCAGCATCTTCTTCTGAAACGATGACATTTCGTTTTTGTGAAATTCTCTTTCATAATAGTTCTACCCGTTATATCATGATAATAAATGAGGGATTTTTTAGCTTTTTCGCTTTTGCCGATTGACAATAAATATCTGAAAGAGAGCAGATCGAAAGCTATCAGAGATGTCAATCATCTTCTTATTTTGATAACAAAAAAAAAGAAAATGATCCAAACTTACGATGGACTGTCTTCAATGAACAAGCAATACACAATGACATTCAAAGTGAGGACAAGTTGAATCAAGTATAGCATCCACCATGTGTCACTTGTTCCCAAAATCTACAAGATTATCAATCAGTTCATCATATTATCATTGTAGTGTTTTGCTTTTTGATTTGTATGTCATCCCATATTCACTCGTATAATGTTCTTTTTAGTAATGGCTTTATCAGAATAATGACCTGAGGCATAGCAATGGTCGCACCGAATACCAACGCAACTTGAATCATTATGCCTGTTATCAGCGAAACAACTCCACGACATGCTGATGGACTGAAACAGAGTGAACAATAATCATAATCATTGTGATATTGTTAATTTACAGCTTAGACTTGTACTTTATATAGTTACCTGCATTCTGTTATGAATATGGGGGCTATTCCTAAAGACACTGAGATGGCTCCTCCAAGAATTATTCGAGAAATTGTATAGACAATATGACTTGTCATCTGCAATTAAATATAAATATATAATAATGTAATTAATGCACATCGTACAAAATAACTTAGAATAGTTAATGCACATGCTATACATTGAATGACCAATGAGAATATTAATCCTCTTATTCGTCCTAGCTTCTCGGATAAGAATTGGATGAGAAAAGATCCAATTGTTGCTCCCCAAAAGAATGAGGAAACTATAATTCCCCAAATATCCTGTAACAGAATAGATACGTCATGCCTAGTTTGTATGTTGTTTCCTTCAACATACTCCTAATTCATTTGCAGACACATGAATATTTTGTTTCGTCAATGAAGCATTCGTAAAGCTTAGGAAAGCATCTTGAGCTGGATTTGTGATGAGCAGTTGATATCCAAAATTGAAAGCTCCACCTGAATATGGTAGAATGAAATAGGCGCCAAATAGGTTGTATAACTAGGCTAAAACATTCAACAACAAAGTAATAATCACCGATAGATACGACGAAAGCAATAACAGCCAAATTCCTGGATGGAAAAGATGATTTTTTTAAGCTGAAAAATATTTTTTATTACAGATTCTATTGAAAGGCAACAATAATGAGAAGCAGAATAAGAATGGCCTAACCTTTCATCATCCATTGCTGTGCAATAAATGCAACGAATTTTGTTTGAAATCGAAATGAACCTAAGGAACGCTTTTCAGAACACAAACTTTACAACCACGAGAAGATGATGTGTAGACAAGGAAAACTCTCTTTAAGAAGTTTTAACAGCTATAAAATTAAATTGTTCAATATCGAAATAATAATAATACTCTGATAACAAGCTTCATGCTTAGATTGCATAATGAGTGGTTGAAGTTCGTTTGAATGGTTTTTCCCGCCATTTATGAGATTATCAACTGTATTACGTAAACACATGCTTTTATGCAAATTAATGAAATGTAAGACACATCTATCACGTCGTCAATGTTCACGTGAGTATTTATTCAAATGAGGCACGTGAAGAAAACAATTAGATAACTTTTGTTTTTACATATCTTTCTTTCAACTAAATTATCTGTGATGCTCGAGGATGAACGGTTGTCCAATCGCGTGTAATGTTACTAAAATAGATATTCCTTTCTTCTTCCTTAAACGTAATTATCATATTTAATATTCATAAGCATTAGAATTTACTTTGCTTTTGATTAAATCTCTTCCAAATCTGTCACGAATCGGTCTAACTGCCATGTCATTCGATGATTCAATACTGTTTTTTCCGAAAAACTGAAATAAACAACAATGAAGGTTAGCCACAAATGAGGTTAGACAGAGAGATTAGGAAAGAAAAAACAAAAATGAGACGGAGAGTTAGAATATTTACTTTTCTTAGACTTTTCAAGCAATCATCAAGCTTTTGGGGATCCTGCAGGTGTATGAAATAGGGCACAGATAATCCATAGCTTCAAAGAGTGTAATTCGTTGAACTCATAATATGTTTACAGGGAAATACCTTATACAGGAGTAGTTGAAAGCTATTGACATCCAATTCTTGACGTTTTCATCATCTGTCATGATATCTCCACTTATTAACAAACTGCATAGAATACTGAATAATATGATGCATAGGATGAGTTTCTTGAATAACTGCAAATTAACATGTTAAAAGTACTTTTTAACAACATATAGAGATAGTGAGAGAGAGATGGAGTGATATGAAAGTTCATTCCCTCAATCTCGTGGTAGAGTACGAGCCTGAGAAATACAAAATGAGGGAAAGAGAGAAACAAAATGTGAAAGAAAATGAGATAACGAGCATAAACGTACTATGACTGTTTTGATATTTTCAACAATTTGATAACGCTGGCTAAGAGAGTAGGGCGAATCATCTACCGTTTCGAATATCTTATTATACGCTCTGTCGTTGTATATTCCAAGATATACGCAAGCCTATGAAATAGAATGAATAAGCATATATGCAAATGTATGTTAAAACTTGTACCAAGAAGGCAATAAAATTAAAGAGGACCAAAGAGCATGAGTGATACCATAATGAAATGATGTCTGAAATGAAGACTTTAAGAAGCAATTAATGATGAAGATGAAAAAAATGAGAATCACCAAACATGGAGGTGGTGAAAGTGGTCTAAGAGGCTGAAATGATGAGAGAGGAAAGTTTTAAATGATAATGATTGAGAAGTGTGAGAAGGAGGGAAAGGATGAGATGGGTGCTTTGAAAAGTAACAGAGGAGGGAAATGCGTATAATCAATTAGAAATTGCCTACCAAATATGAAAATGGCGGCTGATATAAAGCACCAAGTGTGCATTACAATAACAACAATATATCCAATATAAAGACGTTGTTTCCGTTCATAATCCTTAAATGGATAGAAAAATAGGATGAAAAATTAATTTTTATAACACAATAAAAGCATAAAAAGTAATAATTAATTACATTCATATGATAGGTGGCCATTAGACGCTCGACCATGAAGAATATGGCAAAATAGACGGCAATGAAAACTAAAAAATTACGAGTGAAGGAAGCCATGCGGAACACAAAATCTGTTCGAAGATGCTCTGTAATGAAATAAAATAATTTCTAAACTTTTTTTTTCTTTTTCATATTGTTCATCATCATGCACATGATGATCTAGATCTATACTCCGGCCATCATCAAGCTTCACATCTCATCATGCTGCGTGAGCATGAATGCAAAAGCAGGTGACTACTTCATCTATAAGCTATTTGTGATGATCGACAGAGTTTTGCAATGAGGAAGCTTCATATCTTACCATCCGTCAATGATATTGTTTTGTATATTTGAATGAGTCGAGCAAACATTTGGACGAAGTATTGAAAGTATAAATGTTTCAGCAATAAGACCAAATTCGGATGATAGTTGGATGTTATTATGTATATTGAGGTTCCATCAACAATGTAACTACAATAAGAAATCTATTAAAGTTATATCAAACGTTCTGAGAAACTTGGAATGAAGTTTCTCAAGCAGGGTGAGAGAGAGGGAAAGCGCCAGGCTCACGGATGTATACGTAGAAAGAGATAGAGAGGGGGTAAGAAAAGAAAAATGAAATAATCGTTACCTGATGAAGATTAAAAATATTTCTACGAACAGCATGACATCAAACACTTCGACAGTACCATTTTCTAGAGATGCTGTTCCATTAATGATAGCCAGATAGCGCATTATGCGTGTAGGTGCACTGGCCGTTAGCCGCCACTGGGCTGTCTGAGCTTTCGTCTATGTATCTTCAACAAACTTTTTTTTTCTGCACAGACACAGACACACACACACACGAAAATCATTTTGTTGGAAAAAATTACAAACGAAAATAAAATATTGTTTTTGTGCTTAAAAAGTAAAATAAACTAAAACAAGACAATGGTGACGGTGATTATGATGTTCAACGAGAATGCTGTCTCTCGGAAAAGATGAAGAAGACAACAACGACAAACACACATAGACTCATACTCACAAAAAAAATGAAACAGAAAAGAAAATTTTTTTCAACGTTTTCAAGAATCAGAGTACGAACCGTTTGGGAGTTTTGCAAAACATCAACTTCTTCATCTTCTCTAGTCTATCTAATTATTTATGAAAAATATTGAAAATGAGGTAAAAATACGATTATGAGCATGAAACTATTGTTACAAAGTGAAAGAACAAAAAAAAAATTATATGAAATGAGGACGAGAGCAAGAAATGATTCTTCAAAACTAAAATGGTTGAATGTGAGAAGAGATGCATTTGACTTTCGTGAGGAAGCAGTAAGATGTCGTTGGTCGTCGTCTTGTTCTTCTTCTTCTTCTTCCTCATTCACATCGCTTGCTTCACATGGAAAGTTTTGTGGTCTTCTCTCCAAACTACGTCTTCCTGCTGAATATATGGATAATTCCAGATATCCTCATTTACTTCTATGGAAATTCTTAGCTTTACATGATCCTCCCCCTTTTTGCCTTTTTCATTGCCGCTGTTCTCATTTTTCCTTTTTTTCTCTCACAACCTCTCACATAGCCATATGCTATATGGTTGACATCTTTCATTATTAAAAGCTTTTTCTGTATAATATGATTGTCTTTCACCATTTCAAATTCTTCATATAATCTTATCATTTATTTCTTTTTACCCATATTTTGACAAAATCAAAATGTTGATCCGGTCAGACTTCGTTAAAATTCATATGTAACTCTCACAATCTATCATTGCGAACGAGAAAAATGACAAACAGAATGAGTTTAACTTAATTTGTCTTTCAAATATCATAAAAACACTTTTCAAAATGCTTTTCTCCACCTCTTTCGCACTCATTCAACAATCCATTTTGTGCTTTTTCACATAACAAAAAATGTTTTATATGCTTCCAGTTTGTGAACAAGCCATCTGAAGATTTTTGCTTTCAAAGGTCACGTAGGCCAAGACTTCCAAACTTATTCACAAATAAGTTTATTCAAGTTCAGAATTTAATTATTTATGAGCATTTCTTCAAGTATCAACAACCACCTCCCACATTCCATGTGGACAATTATCCGTGAAATGCGTGAACATGATTGAATCTCATTTTTGAGGTAGAATGGACGTAGAGCGGTTGTTTGTACGGAGCTGAGGTCGAGGGTATAACAGATTATAGTTTATATGGCAAAGTACTTCATATCTGAGTCTACGTGATGTGCTATGACGACATGTACGTGAAGGAACACGTGTAAGAGGGCACACGCTAGAAGCTTTGACGGAAGAAAACAACTTTCGAGCGATTTTGGACATAAAATGATATAAAAC